AGCTCTGACTTTTTGCCTCTGTCCCTTTCTGCTCCTCTCTGAATTCTGAGCTGAGAACCCTCTGGCATCACTCTCTGGGCAGCCCGCAAGGGTGAGGAGACCACATTCCTAAAGGCTCTTCAAAAAGGGAAAGTTTCTCAAAACTGCCCCTTTATTCAGTCCAGGGCGACTTTAGCAAACATAAAGACCAGAGTTATGAATAATTTAATATTATAAAGATATATAATATTGTGGCTTCTTGGAAGAAGTAGGTTGTTTTATTTTCTTCACTATCAGTAACTCATGATCTCTCCTTTTTAGACATGTTTAACTAATATCTTCTTGGACCCATTTTCAAAAAGTGAAAAGAAAAAAAATCCACTTTTTTGGGGGGGTGTGTTTTAAGTTTTTAGAATTTCTTGGGGAGAAGAGTGAGTGATGAGAATTTTTCCAGAAGCCCTGCAACTACAGATATCTGTATCACAAACCACAGGGAAGCTGTGAAGCCTAGTCGCTCTGTCTGAAATGACAGAGAAAGGAGGCAGGCTTGTTGAGGTAGGGGTGTGGGGGGTGGGTGTTTAACCTGGCTTTCTAGGTACCCTGGAAGTTGAAGGCCAAGTTTGCATTTAGATGGGAGGGAGGTGGTTTGGATAAACAGAGAGTCTTAAACTCTGAACAGACCATAAAAAATCACTTCACTTAGATAGACTAATTCTGAGGATTTTGGTCATGCATCCTGGCATTTGTCAGTTCTTTTGAAGGTTATTCTTATCTAATCAGCCAGGCTTCTGCTGATCTCCTCCCCCTTGCTTTGACTTCTGGTCCAAGTTATCCCACAAGGCTCAGTTGTGAGAGTAGAAACAGGAAGGAGACACTTCTGTAACCTTTTTGCACAAACCATATTTTACGAATGAAAGATAAATATTCATTTATAGTTCTTTCACTTTTGTGCAATTTATTATATATTATTTTAATGAAAAGGAAACTTCTACTTGTTGGAGGAAAAATCAATTTTTCCTCCGCAGTCTTCTCTGTCAAATAAAGGTCACACTGTGGATTTATTGATTTTTTTTTTTTTTTCACATAGCCCCTGAAGATATGGGTTCTCTAATAGTGGGGGGGGGGGGATATTAACCTTTTGATATTCTTAAGATAAATCTATTGAACTCTTCTTGAGAGATGGTGAAGATTGGAGGCAGAAGACCCCCAAAAGGAAGGAGACTTTATTCTGCTGAATCTAATAGGCACACAACTTTGCTTTAAAGGATCACATTACCCTTCACCTAATTGGCACTACATGATAAGAACTCAGTGTCCTTGTCCACAGCCTTGTCCATGTGGCTTGCAGGTTAGGTTGTTTTGAAGGAGAATGCTTATTGCAAGGCTCTTAGAGAAGTGGTGTCACTAAGGACTTCAAGTTCAGTGAGGCATGGGGCACCACATTCCCCCTCAATTCCAAGTCTGTGTATGGCACCTCCCTTCAATTCAGAGGGTGGTTGTTAGTCTCATCTCCCTGCTCATTGTTAACAGAGTAAGTAATACAGTAAGTAACATCATAGAAATGGTGCTGCTTACTTCAAATAGGTATACATTAAATTCCTCAGTGCATAATTACAACTTTCTGTTTATGTACAGAGGAAGTTGTTTGCATTTGTATAATATCTTATATACTTGTACAATATTATATTGTTAGAGTGACTTTAAGGGCTCCAAGGAGAGAGAGTTACTTTTGTCTGACTTCCCAGAAAATTTCAAGAAGTTTGAGATGAGACTTAACAAACAAAATAATATTTGATGAGGAATTGCTGGACACCGAGAATAGAGGATTGGGCATTGAAAACCAGAATGGGAAGGTGTGACTGAACCCCAGTGATATTTCTGAACTCTGGTTGCACTTTAGAATAATTTGAAAGAATTTTTTTCAAATATAGATATGCTGGGTGTCTAATTCACCCACAACGGTGAATTAGAATACTTTGCAGAGGGTTCAAACCTCAAGGTTCTGTTGAGTTCCCAAGATTATCCTAAACTGCATTCAGAGTTCAGAATCTCTGCGCTGTGCATAGACTATAGGAATTGGAGTACTTTGAAATGTGTCAGGGGAGTAGGTGGATTAGGAACAATTTCCTTTTATATGTTTGAGAAACCACATGGCTTATTAATTTTCCTACTATGGGTAGTACTTAGAATACACCTTTTATATAAATAAATCTTGAAAATATTGTTTGAAAGAAAGAAAAGTATGTTATTGAAAAGTGCCCTGTGCCAAGCATGTATTTAGAGGATTTATTTTGAGAATATGGTGGATCCATGAAGTCATGAGAGGAGAGATTCTAAAATGTCCAGAATCTATAGTTTAGAGACTTTACAGACATACAGATACACATATACACTCACACATTTTGAAGGATGAGAGTTTTCTTAAAAAGGGAGACACATGGGCTCTCTCTGGTGATGCAATATGTTAAAGCACCGCATTATGAAGCTCTATGAAGCCACTACAGCACGAGTTCGATCCCCCGCCAGGGAGCTGACCCACAAGGCACGGAAGACCTCTCCTGACCCACCCGCTACTCCCCTCAGCAGTGTACTTTGTCATTCTGCCTGTTCTGCTCCCCACTCTGTCTCTGGTGAATCTTCTCACCCATCATACCTCTGGCCTGTACCCCAGTTCTATAAACATAAATAAATAAATCTTAAAAAAAAAAAAGGGGAGACACATAGGTTTTGAAGCCATTTGTGAATTCATTCTACAACTTTGCCATTTCCTTGCTGATTTAGACAAGTCATACTTCTCAAGCCTCATGTTAGAGTCATTGAGTCATTTTGCTTTGAGTGGCCACATTGAGAGCCCCTGACCGGTGCCCTATCTGAGTGTAAGCACTTTCATGAAGTGCTTTAACTCAAAATATGCAGTTTTAATGTTTAAAAACATTCAGATGCTCTCTCACTGCTTTGCAGGGGAGTAACTTTGAACAAAGCAGCAGACAGTAAATATGTTTATGTATACTTTGACTTTGTCTATACTATTCATAAATACCCTCCTGATTTGATTCTTGGTGTTCTGTGTCTAAAAAGATATTACAGGCCTATTGTTATTCATCTCACTTCAATTTCAAGCTACTTTGAAGGCTTCTCTTACACTAAGCAATTTTAAAACATATAGTTTCACAATATTCTCCATTCTGTGAAAACTATGTGTCCCTTCTTCTTGGGTAAAATTAGAGAATATTTTTCAACTTGAATACTGATAAAGGGGAGAGGTTAGAAGATAGGTCTTTAAGAGTATCAGGAATACTCCTATATATAACCTGTTTTTTTTTTTAAGCATATTTACTCTGTTAGCTGAGCCAGCTATTAAGCAACTGATAAAATTTGGGACAATAACACATACTCTAAGACCAAATTATCCGACTGTAAAGTCATGAAGACCTTTGCGAAACATCTGAAAACTTCAAAATGGTTAATGTGTTTATGCATATATGCTATCAGAATTTTCTGGAGCTACCAGGAAAATACTTTATCATGTATGTGTAATCATGCTGAGTGAAATAACCTTTATTTTCTCAACTTGAGTCACAGATTGTATTTGTTTTTATTTCACTGGAATAACTCTATTTGACTTGTTAGTACTGAAGCTAAAAAAAAAAAATTGAGATCTGGTCCCAGAACCAGGGGTAAATACAATCTTGTGACATGTCTCCACCTAGTGGACAAAGTGGTGTAATCCTAATGAATGGAAGGGTATAGAGCAGCAGCTTTAAGACAATACAAGCTGGAGCACAGTTTGGATGATTAGTTAACAAACACAGATGGAAAAATAAGAAATAAATTAGAAAATTTATTTTTTATAAGGCATCCACTAAAGTAATTTCTTATTACAATTAGACTTTTAAAATGTAGTGAATTGCCTGAGAACTCCACATCTACATTCTCTGCTTGTCAAAGTATTCAACAAGTATTTGTCTCCTTGATTGCATCTGCATTAGAAACCAAGATATTTCATTGATTTCACTTATCAGTGGAATCTAAAACAAAAATGAAAAGCTAATCTCATAGATACAGGAAATGATTTGGTGTCTGTCAGGGAAGGGGTGGTGGGAACTGGTAGGTCAGTAGGTACAGGCTTCCAATTACAAGGTAAATAAGCCATTGGGTGTAATGTAAAGCTTAGGAACTACGGTTAATTGTACCATACTGTACACTGAAAGTTACTAAGAGAACAGATCTTGAAAGTTATAAGAGGAGAAAAAGGTTGTAACTATATGAAAGATGGCAGCTAGATTTATTGTGACAGATGTTAAGTAGGCTTATTGTGGTTATCATTTTGTAAAATATACCTATATCCAACCATTATATTGTACTCTGGAAACTAATATACTATGTGTCAATTATATATCAAAAAGGGATACACAGTTTTATACCTTTATATTTCACACTACAGTGTTAATAAGCACCTCTATCATAGCACATATTGTAGTTATTTTTTTTATGGTGAGGAAAATTAAGGTCTGGTCTTCTGGCACCTTTGAAAATTATATTATGGTATTGTATTGTTTAGACAGACAAAAAGGTATTTAATCAGCTTGTTGGATTTTTGATGGGGGAAATTAATAACTTGTAGACAGTAGGTTAGAAAAAGTCCATTTTTTAAAATAAATATGCTAATTAATAATGGAAATCCAAAGGCTTGAGTCTTAAATACTACTAGATTTTTAAGTTTCTATCCTACCTTGTTTTTCTTCTGTGTTTTATTCATTTTACAACTCAAATAGCCTTTCTGTGCTCCGCTTTATTCTGAGATACAAAATGAATATATTAATTCTGTACTCAAAAAAGGTTTTATGTATGGATTATGTTTTCAGCTCTTTGACAGATATGGGAAACATAGTGATGAATAAAATAGTCCCTGATATCAGAGAACACACTCTTTAGAAGAAATACACTTAAAAAATCATTTTCATGTGAGGCAACAGCAATATACCATAGTCCTTAAATGAATACAATTTTTGTCTTTACAGATACAGGTTAGTTCCAAAGGTTTATTTTCCTGCACAAATTCATGATGTCATACGTGCCACGAAGTATTTCCTGCGGCCAGAAGTCTTACAGAAGTATTCAGTTGACCCAGGCAGAATTGGCATCTCTGGTGACAGTGCTGGGGGAAATCTGGCTGCTGCCCTGGGCCAGCAGGTAACAGACTGCCTTGAGGTGCTGATGGCAGGAGGGTTTGATAATCTCCAGCAGATCCACATATTTTCTGATGCATGTGGCAGAGGTCAGCCATTAGACAGGTCACTTTGCAGCCAGGTTATTCTGATGTGTGTACTTGGCGAAGCTTCAGAATCCTTTTCAGAGTGAGAAGGGTCATTGAAAAAGTTAGCATCTCTCATCTCAGTGCTTCTAAATACCCTGCTGACAATTAATGTGAGAGGAAGAAGATTTTAGAAGGCTCTTTTGCTCCCCAGGGATATGTGTCAAAGTTTAGTTACCCGCCCCCCCCCATACACACCCCTCCCTTTTCCACGTTGGACTTGCCAATTGAGGTATTGGTTCCTTTGCTGAGATTATTGCCTTAGAACTTTGAGCCAAATTTAAAGTGGTTCCTAAAGATTTTTAAAGATAAAACCATTTTTTAAAGAGCTCTAATTGACTTTACTAAATGATTTGTGTACTGGCACCACTTGGGTACTGCAAGGGCTTACGCAAGTGGAGGCTATTTATAGAGAGAAAGGGTGATTAGCTTAAGAAAAGATTATTTCAGATAAAGCCCCACTCCCTGAGTAAAGGCAGGTGGTGCTTATCACACAGATGACCTCTTTGGTGCTAGTTAGGAAGCTCCAGTTTGATGGGCTTAGGTTGACACTTAGAAAATACTTAAATGTTTCAGCTACCTGAAATATCACACAAGTTAGTTTGAGCTTTATCTGGTTACATTTATTCAAAACTGTGTCTAGATCAAATAGCACTTAAAATTTGCTTCAAAATCAAAGAGAAATACTTTTTTTTCCTTTTACGGATTGAGTAATTTAAGAATAGCATGTCTTCTCACCTCCAAATTTTGCTTGGTCTTCTCAAAAAAAACATCTGCCCCTGTATTAACGGAGCACCTTTGTTTCTTTTCTTTGCTGTAATTAAAGTACTTGGCTGTCGTCAATATGCTATCCATGTACCCAACTGTACCAAGAATAAAGCTCAAAGAAGTGGGGAGTGTCTCATGGCCTTTAAAAACCAGACAGAACAGGGATGGAACCCAGCCCTCCCAACTCCTCTGGGAGCTCAGATTTTGGCAGGTCCCTTAAGATCTATCACAAAATCTTAGGAAAATGAGGATAATTCTTTCTGATTGCAGAACTGTTGTTAGGACTATAGACAATTCTTGGCACATATTAGTAGTAATATTTATTGATGATTTTTAAATCCCTATTGCTTAATAACATGCCTGGGAGAAATTAAACATGTATGTGCCTTGGCTTGATTGATTTACTCCCAGAGTAAAGCGTCAAGCTACTTGTAAGGCATAATTTCTGTAAAAGGAGCTAAGCAAATGAAATAATGTTTCTGATTCCTCTTCTCCAGTTTAATCAGGATGCCAACCTCAAAAATAAGCTCAAGCTGCAAGCTTTAATTTATCCAGTTCTTCAAGCTCTAGATTTTAACACACCCTCTTATCAGCAAAATGTGAACACCCCAATCCTGCCACGGTATGTCATGGTCAAGTACTGGGTTGACTACTTCAGAGGCAACTATGACTTTGTCCAGGCAATGATAGTTAATAATCACACTGCTCTTGATGTGAAAGAGGCGGCTGTGCTCCGGGCGCGTCTGAACTGGACGTCTCTCTTGCCAGCATCTGTCACAAAGAACTACCAGCCTGTCATGCAGACCACTGGCGATGCCAGGATCCTTAAGGAGATTCCTCAGCTGCTGGATGTCCGTTCCGCTCCACTCATCGCCGATCAGGAAGTCCTGCAGCACCTTCCAAAGACCTACATTCTGACGTGTGAGCATGACGTTCTAAGAGATGATGGAATCATGTATGCGAAGCGTTTGGAGAGTGCAGGCGTGGAGGTGACCCTTGATCATTTCGAGGATGGTTTCCATGGCTGCATGATTTTCACCAGCTGGCCCACCAACTTCTCCGTGGGAATCCGGACTAGGAATAGTTACATCAGGTGGCTGGATCAGAACCTGTAAAGAAATGAAATTTCTAGAATGTGTGAGCTTCTCCTGACCTCCTGCACATGCTTTGGAAAAACATGCACTTTTTAGTCAACTAATTTCCTCTTGTTATTCGTGAATCTCTATTCCCTGTAAACTTTGTGTTAATTTAATTTTTTTTTAAAAATGATTTGACTAACAAGTGCAAACACAACTGAATCTGGTTCTCAAAATGGACCAGGGCCAGTTTCTCTGTTCTACTCATTGTAATTCAACTACTTCTAATACCCACAACTGCAGACAGCAGGACTAGGAACTGGGGATTGTTTGGATCCTGCCTTCATCAAGAGGTTCTTTTCAGAAGGAATTCAGCCGTGGATGAGATAGTGACTTTAGTGAGCTAAGAAGAGTGGGGCTCCCTTCAACTCTCTAGAGTTTACTTTGGGTTCAGGGCAGTGATAAAAGTGTGCACTTTATGGTCCGTGGTGGGTACCAAGTGCCCCCTCTTCTCTGTGGGTGGATGTTTGTTTGTTTGTTTGTTTTTTTCCCTATGGGGATTTCAACAAAAGCACTCTGACAAGGACAAGTTTCTCAAAAGACTTTCTTCTTTAGAGTGTAATTTTTTGTCATAGTTATCTGTAAGTGCAGTTGTATGATGATACTTGAAAGCTACTTTTACCACTATTATTAGAAAACATGTCTTTGCATGCACTGGAAATCTGCACATTAAGTTTTTGACTTGTGTTCTCCCCTTGGGGGGAGATCTTGGGGACAAATTTATTTAGATTAAGAGAAATTTTCCATTATTAAACAAGTAAAACAGACAACTGAACCAAGTTATTGTTTCATAAAAAGTACTTCTGATATAAATTACCAAGATCAGTGTGTATATATTTGGTATAGTCAGAACAGAAGATACATTTAATATTATTTTAAAATTATGAAAAATACCTGTAGAGGGTCTAGTTTATTCTTAAACCTTAACTTTTCCACTTACATGACTTTGAAATGGGGCTATTTTGGTATATATAATGTGTGGTTTATTTTTTAAAGTTATTTAATGTTAATATATGTAGCTAGATAGGATTTTTCAGAATAATGTCTGCTACGAATATTAAAAATAATATTTTTAGAAAACTACCATAAGGTTTAAAAAACTACCTTAGAATCACATCTTTCTGTAAGTTTATGGAAAGAGGTAAAATAACTATTAATACTACTACTTACTAGGTCTACATATTTTGATGTTTATATGCACATACCAATTGAAATTACAAACCATGACTACTCTAGTAAATTCATCTAAACTTAAGCAAGGCACATACCACCCATTTCTGCTGCCTCATGGTCAGAACACTAGGTCATATTCTTCTGGGAAAAAGGCACATGGTGTCACCTGGTAACTTCACCCTCCTCATCTCCTTCCAGCCAGGTGGCAAAGTTCCAACGGCCCAAGTTCCATTTCATGTAAAGCCTTCACTGCCAGTGGGAACTTGTTTGGCATACGAAGGAACTTCAATTCGGATGAAAGTATCTCTGCCCTCCTTCCACTCTTCCTTCTGCGCCATCCAAGCTGCCTTTGGGGATGACAGAGAGCAGCATTACGGCCAAGGAATGAGACCAACAAACTCATATTGGGGGCAAAAGTAGCACTTTTTTACTCATTTAAAAAATGAGTTTTCCCCACTTCTGGAATTGAAATGAATGAAAATGTGCCCACTTATTTTTCATTTATTATTGTATAAGTCAGTAGTATTCTAAGTACAAAAATAGAGGTAAATGTACAGTGTGTGTGCCTGAGTGTGTATTAAAATAATCATGTGACTTTACTTGCTAATGTATGCAGGCAAGTCATTTACCATCTCTGGGCTCCTTTTCCCTATCAGCGAAAATCAGAGAACAGAATTACTTATCTCTGAGGTCTCTATAAATCCAACTGTTTTGTTAAACAGGCCAATTATATTGTCCTTGCCTAGAGTGAAGTTTTCCCCACATACACAAAGACATTCATTATCAAATTTGTTTTTTAAAACTGGAATTTTAGTTCTTACTCTGCTAGCTACCTTCCTCAGTTAATATCATTCCTTTTGATACCATTTGAAGGAATCAGTTTGGGACCTTATTTTGAGGGTACCTCTCTCTTAGAAAGCAAATATATATGCAGAGTTGCTTAAAATGACATTTGCCCCCAGAATTGGGAGCCAAATCCTAGAGTAATTACAGATAAATGATTCCAGGTCTCTAAAAGGCTCTCTCAGATGAAAAGGGAATGAAAGAAAAAAGGGATCAACCACTGTTTCTAGTAAATACTTGAGTTTCTATTAAAGCTTCTATAGACATAAATAAATTATCTAATGACTTGCACTGTATCCCACCTCAGATCTTTCTGGAAAGAAATACCCTCTGGAATGGTAGCAATTGCGAATCATGATATACAGAACCCACTAGAAATGAGAGAGGCTAGACCAACCAAAAATCTGAGTGCTGAGAGTTCCACTGGGAAGCCTACTGAGTTGATGTTAATGTTTATGTTAATGGAACAAGTTCTTTTTCTTGAAGTTTTGTTCATATAAAAACAAGGTTATGCGCTGAAGGTTGATTTGAGGTGGGGAGGAATATGGCTTTGTTTTCTTTTCCTATTTTATGAAAAAGCTGATTGTCTTTTTGTCATTGCTGTCGTGAAATATGAACATAAATACATGAAGAAACAATCTTGAAGTAACTGCAAAACATAGTGAAGTGTAAATTAGTTTTAGAGTTTCATCATTGATTTGGTAAGCATTTTAGACTATCATATAATCATCTTGGTGGCTAGACTATTTTATGCATGCCCTTTAACTTTTAACTTTGTGCTGATTTCCCATTGCAAAGGGGTAAGCAGATTTTATGAAGGATTTTAGTAGCAAATGTATTTTGTATGATGAAAATTCAGTGTGGAGACAGCAAAGTATCTATTTTGACTCATGTTTGGAAATAAAATGGCTCCATCTGGGAATGTGCCTTTTTTGCTTACCAGTTATAAGATTCATCTCTCTTTCTGTGTCCCAAATACCTAGTGTTGGGCATCAACTCAAAGCTTGCCGGGGTTCTTGATAGCAGCAGATGAGAGAACAGACAGGAAGCCCCCTGGCAGGGCCAGCAAAAATTCTTTACTGAAGCAGGGGGAGACAAGATATACATGGAAGCACATTGGCGCTGCTAGCAACCTCCTGGGGCCCTTGGGGGAAAGGAGGGTGTGTGTGTGTGGGGGGGGGTGACTTAGGCAGCCTCAGGGACCTCCAGCTCCAGGCAGCAACAGCAGTGCTCCAGGCTCTGGTGGCAGGGTGGTAGCTGCAGCAATCATTGAGGGTGGCAACCCCTCTGTACCACAATAATAGCCGCCCCTCTCCCTCAAGGAGCCCTGTTAGCTTTTATATGGTTTAGAGACAATGCTGGCCAGGGCCAGATTGATACTTAGGTTACATAGTATATTTTTGTGGAATTATACATCAAAAGTTCATTCAGCCAGAAACTGAATGAAGACTGGTGCTCTCTGCACATGGATACTCCATCTCACAGTTACATATTATATACCAGGCCACTTGTGCTGGAAAGTCATGGGAAAACCAACCTGAGAAAATTGGAGAAATTTGTATTTTTTTCTTGGTCTGCACCTGGCTACGATCCTGTCCAAGTCATCTTTCCCCCTGGAAGCCTTTCTTCAGTACTATCTAAGAGAGAGTTCTGTGAGCACCTAAATCAGTGTGTTGGATTCCTGGACCCAGTTGCAATGAGGCCCTTCCACACCAAATATCAATTCTCAAACTCCAGTAGAGTATTCCAGAATTCAACCCTATTTTATTCAATGCTAATATAATCTACTCAAAGATAGAATCAGATTTCTCAGGGAAAGGTCTTGGTTTCCCGAGACCACTCTCCACATGCCATCTGCAAGCCCAGGATGTTACCTGTGCTCCTGACCAATCTGATACAGATTGGAGGTTCCCATAAGCCCCTCTTCAGACTTCAGGTGCCCATTGCAAGCCCAGATATTTACCTTGCTTCCGATTGGACAGCCATAGATCAGAGGTTCCCAGGAACCCCTTTTCTGGTTCAGTTACTTTGTTAGAATGTCACAGAGAACCCAGAAAAGCCATTTATTCATTAGATCACCAATTTATTATAATAAAGGATGTAAGGGAAGAATAGTCAGATAAAAGAGGAGCTTGAGGCAAGGCATGGAGAAAGGGCTTTCTGCGCAGGAATGCTATTGTCTCCAAAGCTCAGTGTGACCAGGTACTTGAAAGGTCTCTTTCAGGTTTTTATGGAGTTTTCATTACATAGGCACAATTGATTAGATTATTGGCCATTGGCAGTTGAACTAACCACCCCCTCACCTCCCTCCTGAGGTGTGAGGTACAACAGGAAATTCCAGCCTTCTAATTACTTGATTGTTTTGCCTATAACCAGCCTTCATCTTTACGTGCTTCCCATTGGGTGTTTATAGGGCATTATAAGGCTTTTGGGAGCTGTGAGCCAGAATTGGAATGAAGACTGAATATATATGCAAAATACACATTTGGTCATTTGAATGACAAAGATATTTCTTTCCTATATATCACAATATCAAAAAGACATTCATTTCACATATGGATAGAATATATTCTGCTTACATTAGGGAAATCTGTCTGTGACTGGCTAGGCTATTTTACAGAATATAAAAACCACACAGGTCCTGAAATCATTTTGTGACTTGCAAAACACATATTTGGAAGGGAAAATTATCACACAAATGAGTTTGGGTTTGAAAGAGGTTAACCAAAGAACCTCTTTCAATATTATTGAAGATAACATTCTCAAATTCACACTGTTATCACAAATCTAATAATTTTACACTTGAGTTTGCCATCCTGTATATATTCATATAGAAATATACAAAACTTTTTTTCCAAAATAAAATTTTTGGTTTCTTAATAGTAACATATATATTTGAAAGTTAGATTTCCCTATATAATTATAGTTATTTTATCTTATTCAAAACCTCTGGTTTGTCTATTACATTTTGCTGGAGAAAACTCTGGTATTTGTTTATTATATTTTGTTGAAGGAATCCATTCAGCTTCCACAGTTCTCCTTTGGGACATTTAAAATGTACCTTTTGGTTTTCTTTTCATTTATTTATTTATTTAAAAGATTTATGTATTTATGCATTACAGAACTGGTGCACAGGCCAGAGGTGCAAGGGCAGTAAGAGGATTCACCAGAGACAGTGGGGAGCAGAACAGGTCGACTGATGAAGTACACTGCTGAGGGGAGCAGCAGGTGGTCAGGAGAGGTCTGTCGAGTCATGTGGATCACCTCGAGGGCAGGTGGGGATCAAACTCATGCTGAAGAGGCTTAAGCTTCTGAGTGCTGTGCTTTAACATGCTGCACCACCAGGGAGGGCCCTGGTTTCCTTTAAAAAAAAAAAACAA